TGACAAGCCAGGCCCTGTTCTCAACATCTCTCATTTGACCTTCACAGTGGCCCTTTGGGGTTGGCACCATTATCATCTGTTTCACAGGTAAAGTAACCGAGTCTTGGAGAAGTCACTTCCCCAAGAGTCCCAGGCTCAAGGTAGAGTAGGGATCTAGGCGGTCTGATGCCAGAGTCCACTTGCCTGACTATCACCTGCCTCTCCCTTCTAGACAGTTAGTGTTTAATTTCTGTCATAACAAATGACTACCAGCTTCATTTAATGGCTTAAAACAATGCCCGTCTGTGAGCGCACAGTTCTGTGGGTCTGCAGTGTGGGCACGATGGGTGACCTCTGTTCTCTGCTCAGGGTGTCACCAGGCTACACTCAGGGGTTGGCCAGCGCCTTCTTCTCTGGAACTCGGGGCCTCTTCCAACCTCCCGTGGTTGGTGCAGAATTTAGTTCTTTGTGACTTGCAGGGTGGAGGTCCCTGTGTCCTTGCTGCTGTCAGCTCTTAAGAGGTCACCTGTACTTCTTGCTCCATGACCCCCTCTATCTCTAAAGCCAAAGAGGAGGATTCCCTTTCTTAAAGTCACCTGTACCATAACGATCCAATGATGCAAGTGAGTGTCCTGTCCCCAAGTCTGGAGGAGCATCTTGTGAGCATCTGAGAATCAGCCTTCCTATACCAAGTGCGTTCTCTGTTGGTAACTCCTTTACCACTCTGGTGTAGTGACCTGGAGGATGTCTGGGGGCACCGTTAAGAGTGTTTTCATGTTTGAACACCCAGTACAGCCCTGTGGATTCATACAGAACAGCATACAGATGCCCCAGTGGGAGATGTGAGTACATCCTCCTGCACCACTCTCCCTCCAGCCTCGTCCCAGATCTCCAGTCTCGGGGAACGCAGGCTCGGACCCAGCCTATATGAGAGAGAAAGGAGGAGACCATTAAGGATGTCTGCTATTTGCATCTCCACAGTAGGGAAACTGAGTCTGAGACAGGACTCCCCACCCAGTGCTCTCTTCAGGGAACCCTGCCAGCACCCACATGCAGCTCCCGTCCAGCAGCAGTGACCATGACTCTTGCCTTTCCTGAGCTCCCCCATGACGTGGGGGCGAGGGGAGGAATGGAACGCTTAACACACAAGTCTGCTTAAATGGATGCGACACTCGTCGGTGTATCATTGAAAATACAATTTCCTTTGATTTTGCCTCTTTTGGTGCCTTCTCCTCGTGTGTTTTGATATCAAAGAGATTGCACCACTTTGTTGGACTCTAAGCTCCATCTTTCCTGGGAGCTTTCATCACATCTCAGTACAGCTTTCCACTCAGGGACACCGGAAGGATTAAAGATGAAGAGCGTCAAGGGGCTGGGGGAGGGTCAGCAGGGTTTGCTCAGGTCGAAGCCTTTCCCTGGCCCTGTGGAGAGCAGCTGTGGAACCAGCCTTACCCCGCCTCTCCTGCCACAGACAGTTCGCAAGACCCCTGGCTTCCCAGGGGTGGTGCCAGAATGCAAAGCAAGCAGGGCTGGATCCGCATCGACCTTCATTGCTTCATCTCCAGCTCTTAGCACAGGAGATGGGCTCCCGTAGATCCTCAGCTAATGCTTGCTGAATAGATGCATAAATTAATAGGATGCATCTTGAAAATCTTACAGAAGAATCTCCCTTGTCCCTATATACCTTTTTCTCTCCATGGGCCCAGAGCACTGGAGGTTAAGATTTCTCAAATGGGCATTTCACTTGCTCTTTGAAGAGATCTGAGGGGTAGAGGCTCCAAGCCTTTCAGCTCCAAACCTGTCTGGCAAATCACACATTGTGTGTGTGTTGGGGGGGGGGGGGGGCATGGAGGTGGGTTTCCTACACTTGACCTAGATGCTTAGACCTCTTTCTTCATCTTTAAGATGGGGTTAATGGAATATTGCATTACATTTCAATTCAAGGAGAGCTGATGAATATATATGTTTGTAGTCAGACATTCTTTCCCTGGGCCCCACAAGCCCCCCAGGGTGGATGGGCAGGAGATAGCACTCATACGTTATAGCAGTAAACTGAGGCAAAGACGGGACCATGTCTTTGGATCACAGAGCAAGTTCGCTGGAAGCTGAGTGGGAATCCAGGTCTAGGCTGAGCGAGGAATTGCTGCTGCAGGCAATTCCAGTCCACATGGAGAATGCATCCCAGCACCAAATTGGAAGTAAACCTCCCTTTCCTGTCCGCTGGACGCCAGAGCTCTCCTCCAACCTGGGCTGACGTGTCCTAGAAAACATTGTTCTGTTCGTGGGACCACATGAGGCCTTCTCCTACAAGGATACACGGAAGTGTGTTTAAAAATAAAGAAGGAAACAGTGCAGAAAATCAGCAGAAAGCTGTTGGCCGAAACAGCTGAGGGCAGGAGAACGAGCTCTCCCAGGTTCCCTGGCCAGGAACCGTCCCCTGGCACCGCACTGCTCGGCCTGACGTGGGCTGGGGGACTCCCAGCGGCCCTCCCTGCAGTTCCCGCCTGCGTCCCGACAGCTGAGGTCCCCGGGGCCACACAGGGCTTGGGATCCGCAGCATGTCTCACTGTTTCTGGGCATCTCCTGTTACGTTTTCAGTGAAAGGTCCCCTCCCCAGAGACAGAGCAAAATTGTGCCTGCGATCCCTCAAAGCTGCACCAAGCACATCTTGTGTTTATCTTTGTAACTGTCATGGCAGAGCAGGGAGCAGGTGGCCCTGTGCACAGGGGAACTGGGCAGCGATGTCGGAGACCAACGACCCTCCCGTGTGGTATGGCAAAGGTTGTCTTGGAATTGCTGCAACACCCCAGGCAGCAGAGGAAAACCTCTGAGAGGCGAGCCTCCTCTGCCTCTCCGTAGTGGGTGAACACTCCCTCGTGCAGTCACCGAGGCAGTTGGCTCCACGGGGTAGAGAACATGCATCCGGGTTGTTCTACTGGGGACACAGTTTCTGGGGAAGGCGGAAACCTGCGAATCAAGAAAAGCTTGACTATAAAGATGAATAAGGACTGAATGATAGTTTCCCCACAGGTGACTTCTCCCAAGAGCAGAAGCTCATAGAACTTTCTGGAAGAGCAGCTCATCAGTCTAAGCATGAGCCATACACATCCACTCTGCAGGCTGTGGAGGGTGGGTGCCGTGGAAGGTGGAGGCCATGGAGGGTGGGTGCAGTGAGCTCTCAAGCTGCAAACCTGACTCAGCTGTTCGCTGCTTGAGCTTCATTTTCCTCGTCTGAAGATTGGACAGATAATAACAGCACTTGTCTAATAGCTTGTTGGGAGGATTATGAATGAGGGTATAAATTTCCTAGCATAGTGCCTAGATCATGAATGCTGAGAAAATTTAACCTGCTATTCCTAGCTCGGAGATTCTCACGCTGTCTCCTAGCTTCTTTAGTGTCTTAAAGCATCTTACAGAGGTGGGAGCCGATCATCAGAAAAACAGACCGAGGGCTGCAGGTTTCTGGGTGTTTCTTTAAAGTGCAGCATGTACTCCAAAAACATCTTAGAGTCTTTTTAAAATTTATTCTTTACTGAGATACAATGGACATATATCATTATATTAGTTTTAGGTGCATAATATAATGATTTGATACACATATATATTACAAAATGATCACCACAAGGAATCTAGGTGACTTATTCACCATGTAACCCTTCACCATGCAGAGTTACAAAATTTTTTTCTCATGATGAGAACTTTTAAGATCCATCTCTTAGCAACTTTCAAGTACACAGTGCAGCACTGTTAACTGTAGTCGCCGTGTGGTACGCGATGTCCTCAGGACTTAAAACTGAAGTTCGTGCCTTTTGAACCCTTCACCCATTTTTATTCATTGCTGCCCCTGGCAACCCCCAATCTGTTCTCTCCATGAGGCTGGTTTTATTTTTAAATTCCACATATAAGTTCACAGCCGTTTGAAAGTCTCGGGGCATTAACAACTTGCCCACCTCAGTTTTTTGGAGGGCAAAGAATTACTGCAACAGATAATTTTTTAAAAGATTTTGTTTATTTATTTTTAGAGAGGGAAGGGAGGGAGGGAGAGAGAGAGAGAGAAACATCAACGTGCGGTTGCTGGGGGCCGTGGCCTGCAACCCAGGTATGTGGCCTGACGGGGAATCGAACCTGTGACACTTTGGTTCTCAGCCCACACTCAATCCACTGAGCTACACAAGCCAGGGCGCAACAGAAATTTTAATGGTGGGTCTATACAGTCATCAGTCATGTTAGTGAGTGCTCGGGCAGCCACAGGCTCCCCACTCAGACAGTAAGTGACCACGTGGCGAATCAGGCACCTGCTGCCTCTTCCCTCCTGTTTGCTGCTAAAATCTCAGGTAATAGGAAGGGAGATGGGGAGCAAAAATGAAAGAGCGCAGGTTTGGGCCTGGCAAGCAAGAATCCAAATATTAGCTCTGTCACTTAATTGTTGGGCAGCCCAGGTGTCGTGTAACCTCTTTGGGGTGTTTTCTCATTCATTTATCTGTTTATTCAAGCAGCTCAAGGAGCACTTTTTGAGAACATAGAATATGCCAGGCTGTGATCAAAACAGACACAACTGTGCCCTTGCAGGACTTACATTCCAAAGCAGGGAAAGAGACTGTTAGAAATAAACATGATGCATAAGCAAATCAGATAGTCTTTCTATGATGGAGGTGATGAGATTTTACTCCGGTGGGTGGCTGTGGTGGATACAAGTGACAGTCCACATAGAATACATGGACTATGATAAAGAGAGGAAACATCAGTGTGTGACTACCTCTCAAGCGTGCCCTACTGGGGACTTGGCCGCAACCCAGGCATGTGCCCTGACTGGGAATCGAACCAGCAACCCTTTGGTTTGCAGGCCAGCACTCAACCCACTGAGCCACACCAGCCAGGGCTCCTTCACTAGTTTAAACACTTGATCTTCTGTGCACTAGCTGAGAGGCTTCTGAGAGCCCGGAGGCAGGAATGCCCTTGAAGTCTTGCATTTCTGGGCATGAGAACAGCCCACTTCACTGACGATGTCTTTTTTAACTCAGGTGTCCTGGCTATGGCTGGTGATTCTCGGAATGCTATGAACCAGAATATGGAGATCGGAGTTACTCCCAGGGACCCCAGGAAGATCCCCAAACAGGCACGCGATGACCTTCCCATCGCCACAGACCACACCCGCCTGCTGGCGGAGGGCAAGAAGCCCCGCCAGCGCTACATGGAAAAGAGCGGCAAGTGCAACGTGCACCACGGCAACGTGCAGGAGACCTACCGGTACCTGAGCGACCTCTTCACCACGCTGGTGGACCTCAAGTGGCGCTTCAACCTGCTGGTCTTCACCATGGTCTACACCGTCACGTGGCTGACCTTCGGTTTCCTCTGGTGGCTCATCGCTTACATCCGGGGTGACCTGGACCATGTTGGCGACAAAGAGTGGATTCCTTGTGTGGAAAACCTCAGTGGCTTCGTGTCTGCCTTCCTGTTCTCCATTGAGACTGAGACCACCATCGGGTATGGCTTCCGCGTGATCACGGAGAAGTGTCCAGAGGGGATCGTCCTCCTCATGGTCCAGGCCATCCTGGGCTCCATTGTCAATGCCTTCATGGTGGGGTGCATGTTTGTCAAGATCAGTCAGCCGAAGAAGAGGGCGGAGACCCTCATGTTCTCCAACCACGCGGTCATCTCCATGCGGGACGAGAAGCTCTGCCTGATGTTCCGCGTGGGGGACCTTAGGAACTCCCACATCGTGGAGGCCTCCATCCGCGCCAAGCTCATCAAGTCCCGGCAGACCAAGGAAGGGGAATTCATCCCCTTGAACCAGATTGACATTAACGTGGGCTTTGACACAGGGGATGACCGCCTTTTCCTGGTGTCACCCCTCATCATTTCCCATGAGATCAATGAGAAGAGCCCTTTCTGGGAGATGTCTCGGGCCCAGCTACATCAAGAGGAGTTTGAAATCGTGGTCATTCTAGAAGGCATGGTAGAGGCCACAGGTAAGACACTTTACCTTCTTCAGCCCTTTCAACACCTAGGAGCCTAGGCCCCTGGGATTCCAGAAGATGGAAATTCTTGCCTGAGAACCCTGACATGACAGAGTCAACTAGCCCAATGCCTAAGTCGTGATATGAGGGGTGTTGTTGCTCAGAACAGAGTAATAACAACAGCTACTGTTCACTGAGCCTGCCCAACTTCCAGGCACTGTTCTAACTGTAAACGTGTAAGATCTCGTGTATGCCCTCCACACCCCTCTGAGATACCGTAGCATTTCTTACATCCCAGACTAAGAAACAGAGGCACAGACAGGCAAGTTATTTGTCACAGAGGGGTGCCACTAAGCAGTAGGGAAAGGATGCACATCAAGGCAGGCACCCCAAGGCTGCCATTGGTTTCCAACAGGCTACACCGCTGGCCTCCTCCTGTCCTGGAGCAGGTGTTGACCCAAAAATAGCTGTGTGATCAAATAACTTTGGGACTCACAATGTTACAGGTGGGCACCAGCAACCAGGTTCTTGGTGATCACAAACAAAGAATTGAACCAAACACACAGAGTTTATAGCATAAAGAGAGAGAGCAGGTTTATTAAGTGATAGTACACTCCACAGAACATGGGAGCGGGCCAACTCTGAGCAGAGATTGACCTCATGGGCTGGAGGGATTCTATTCTTATAGGACAGATCCTTCCTGGCTAGTTTTGGCTGACTTCTATTGCACATATACAAGTAGTTGTATTTTAAAGCTACTGTGCACGTGGTCTCCCATGATTTTCCTTGATTGGCCACCGGAGAGGGGAGTCCCACAGTCTTAATTTAGTATAATGTTATTATAATGAAGCAGGGGTCGTGTAGTGTCTTCTGCGCAGGTGCATTCATGAGTCACCACGATTTAGCGCTTTTCCAAAAAGCAGGAACAACTGGTCTTACAGGGTCTCTGTCTTGTAGGGATGTCTTTTATCTTAGCCCTGGGGCACCTCCGGAGTTTCCTCCTTCCTGACTATCTCCTGCCTCATCCGGGTTAAACAAAGGAACCTGGTTGTTAACAGCAGGACTTGATGGTGTCTTCACATGTTGTGAGTTGCTTCATGAGCAGAAGAGAGTGAGTGGCATTTCCCAAACTCAAGGACTCCCCAAGTGCCAGAATCCTCTCTTCAAAGAGACACCCGTGCCCCAGACTTGTGGGAGGGGCTGTGTGGCTTACCGTCCCCCCCACCCTGCCCCCAGCTTCTGGCTCAGTGAGCACTGGGTGTGCAGAAAACCGTACCCACACCCAGGTATGCCCACACCACGCCCTCCTCACAGCCAGCCTGGCCCTCCCCGCTCAGCTCTGCACTCTGACGGGCATCTGGCCACTGAGTGTCCACCACCCCTTAGTCACGGTGGAGCACTCAGGGAGCCCCAGACCTGAAGAGTCCAAGTCCCCACCCCCACACTGGCCAAACCTCCAGGGGTAAGGAGCCCTCCGGCAAACCCTGCACCCCGCTCCTTATTCCCACCCCTCTTCTTGTCCCTTTTCTCTTTTTTTTTTTTTCACTGAGCAGACTGAACATTTGTAGAAAACTCACTTGTAAAAAAGCTGTGCTCATTTTTGCCACAGTGCCACAGGGCCAGCCTCCATCCATTTCACAGGCAAGGCATCTGCAGGGGCAGCTCCTGCAGAGAAGAAGCAGTCACAGCCAGGCTTCTCACTTACAAACGCAGAGCCTCCATTCTCCACACCACACTGCCCCCTAAATGTTAGGCACTGGTCACAAAGGTGGCCGAAGGAGACTCCCTCTCCTTTCAGAAAGCTGGTTGCTGGGTGGAAGAGGCTTACAGGGTAGCCACAGATCCTCTCCCATGTGCAGCCAGAGGGACCTGGCTGGGGTACAAAGGGGCTCCAAGGGCTGGTGCAACCAGGCTTTGGCCATCAGCTGGGCCACACAGAGTCTGGCCAGGCAGCATGTGGTGGCAGCTGCAGGAGCCCCCGGGGCTGAGGACAGTGGGGATGCTGGAGGCCTCCTCCAGCAGGGTTGGGGGCCCAGAGGTCATGCTCCCTTGACACTAGGCTCAGGGCCAGAACGCAGGCCAAGTTTCTGGAGAAGGAGCTCAACTCCAAGGCCACAAACGAAGGGTCAGATCAGACATGTGGGGACAAATAGGAAGGCACTCTCCGGCCACCCTCACTGCCACCTGATGCCGGGGAAGTGGATTTTGAGCCCACCCAGCCAGCTTCCTTCCTCTTGTCTCTTTCCAAGCCAGTGGCCTGCAGTTGACTTGCCCTCTCTGGCTGACATCTCCCCATCAGTGACCTGAGTCACCCTTGCTGCTGTCCTTGGGGCTGCAGGGAGACCAAGGAGATAAAGGGAGGAGGCCACGCCCACCCCACGTCTGTTCTGATCTCAGTGACTTGAGTGGTTTGATCGCCACATGTGTTGAGCCTGCAGGCTGTGGGTTCAGGCCCAGGTCCAAGCAGCACAGCTCAGCCAGACCTGCCTTGTGGATGGGGGTTGCATGTGTAAGTGAAATAACATCAAAAGCATGGTGCTTGGCACCTCAGTGGGCCTCCATCCTTTCCAAGTGCATTGGAAGATGACTGCCAAGGGCACAGGTGGCGTCTCTAGCTATAGGGTCACCCACAGTCCACCCAGGAAGGGGGACAGAGAAGAGCAGGAAGAGCCCCAGAGGCGTGGCCCCTGGGCTCCTGTGGAGGCCCTGTTCAGCCATCTTTCTTAAAGCCCGCAACCTGCAGACCTCTGCCCCGGCTGCTTCCCGGCTGATCAGTACCCAGCTCGGGCCCCCGAAGCTCTGCTGATGCTGGGGTTGGGCAACGAGGGGACTAAATGGCAGGGCTTGACCCAGGCAGCCCCCACCCCCACCCCCAGAGCAGAGACCTGGCTACTAACCAGAGCCTAAAGTGCATGGGCTGCCCTGGGGTTGCCAGATATGGGGCACGCAGTGGTGGGCAGCAGACTTTGACCTGACAAGTGTGTATGAGACCCCCCTCCAAAGAAAGACCAAAGCTGAAGCGGCTTCTCCTTCAGTTCCCAAGGAGCCCTTGTGTACACCTTCCTTGACCAGAAGATTACGTATCAGAAAGCTGTTTTCTTGCTACCCTAAGCACAGAGGCATCCTCATCCATAAACAAAGTTGCCCTTCCTCTCTGGAGAGAAAGAAACACCTAAAAATAGCACAGGCATGCCAGGGCTGAGTGGATGGGGAGCAGAGGCACTGGGGCATGCCCAAACCAAGGAGCCAAGCTCCGTGTGTGTGTGTGTGTGTGTGTGTGTGTGTGTGTGGCGGGGGGCGCAGGGAGTGGGAGGGAAGGGAAGAGGGAAGAATCTTCTGCCCATATGTGTCTACCCAAAACAATCTCCATGTGTTCTAAATGCTTATCAGCTTCTCTGAGTTCACTCACTCTGAATTTATCTTTGCTCGAACTCTTTTCCTGACTCTTCTCTCAGTCTTCTGGACCTTAATGTTGTTTTGAGGAACCATGTCTCTAGTTCTAGCTATTTCAGAATTATCCACTCCAGTCTCTAGGAACCTATGCCAGAATTTTGCATTTGACTTATTTTCTGACTCCACCACAGCTTGAGCTCCTTCGGGGCAAGGACTGTTTCTTATTAGCTTTATATTTCTGTCATGCTTAGCACAAAGTAGATGTTCAGCAAATGCTTGATGAAGGATCAGGCGGTTGGAAGGCTAGATGGCTGGCTGGCTGGCTTGTTGGATGAATGGATAGATAGATGGCTGATGGATGAATTGATGATGGGTGCATGGGCGGATGAATGGATAATCGGACACTTGGATGGATGGACGGCTCTGACCAGTCCTAATACCTGTGTCTTTGTTCCCCCAGGCATGACTTGCCAAGCGCGAAGCTCCTACATGGACACAGAGGTGCTCTGGGGCCACCGGTTCACACCAGTCCTCACCTTGGAAAAGGGCTTCTATGAGGTGGACTACAACACCTTCCATGATACCTATGAGACCAACACTCCCAGCTGCTGTGCCAAGGAGCTGGCAGAAATGAAGCAGGAAGGCCAGCTCTTCCAGTACGCCCCCAGCAGCCCCCTGCTGGAAAGCATCGCTAAAGCAGAGTTGGAGGAAGAGGCTGAACAGGATGGAGAGGATGGACCCGAGGGGCTAAATGGCTCCCGGGAGACCAGGGGCTTGGTGTAAGGGCTGTGCTCTCCCCACATCCTCCCTTCTCTGGCTTCTGTGAGCTCCGACGCTGCAGAGCCGGGGTCAGGGAGGGTGGACCAGCTGAGTGTGGTATTTGGGGGCCCAGAAGCCATCAGGGCTCTGTGGGAGGAATAGTCTATCCAGCCCCCAGACCTCCCAGCTCAGGGCTTCTCTGGACAGGTGACCTGTTGCCTGGGCCCCCACGGCAATCCTGCCTCCTCTCTCCCAGCCCCTGTCAGCGCCGGCCAAGGGCCAGGCCAGGATGGGTCCCCCTGCAATGCAGGGGACAGAGTGGCCTCTGTCCTTACACACCAATCCTTATCAACTGGCCCCGAATCGTCTCCTCTCTCAGGTCTCATGGGCCAGCCGGCAGGGGCTGACACCTAGAGAGGACAGTCACCCCCGTCCCTTCCTCCCTACCAGCCTAAGGCTCATCATGGATTCAAGAAGAGATTCTGCCCTCCTGGAGACTCAGATGCTCATCCTAGACCGAGGTCGTGGGCCTCCTGGGTTAGGCTGGAGCTAAGCCATGCAGGCACTTCTTTCACATGGAGACCAAGGGTGCCGCCCTGGGGGCTGCAGAGGACCAGGCCCTGGGCGATCTCTCCCATTATCTGTGAAGGGTGTGTGCTCATCCTCTGCTGGGCTCTACCTGTCAAACGTAGCCTCCCAGGCACCTGACCTTCTTAGTGTGGCTGCTCATGTGGCCCGGGCCACAGAGCACCTCCGAGCCTGTGCAGGGTGCAGGCCGTCCCTCGTCACACCGTGCCCTGCACCCCCCACTGAAGGGAGAACCCCGAAGCTGGTTCTTTTTTGCACTTTCAGCCCAAGAATCTCCAAGGGCTTCTAACCTTCACTGTGACTTTCTTTCAAAATCCCAGAGAGCCGGTGGCGGATCCAGAGAAGGAGGGCTGCGTTTCAGAGGACAAGATGCGCCAGGCAGTGTAGAGAGAGGGAGGGAAAGCAGAGAGAAAGGCAAGCGACTAGAATTTTAAAATAAGCATCAGCACCAGTTGTCGCTGAGGTATCTGAGGTCAGGACTCGGCACATCTTTGTTAACCAGCGAATTAGAGGGTGGGGGCCGAGAGGAGAGGCGACCACAACCACGGAGGCAGCATCCCCTTCAAGCCCAGGCTGGACCAACTCTCAGCTGGTCCCGGTAGCCCCTGGGCCGGCCCTCCCACACCCAGGAGTCAGGGCTGGGAGAGCAGGGATGATGCCCAGGGAGGGGGTGGGAAGGGCCGCCTGTCCCATCCTGCAAACACAGGGGAGGAGAATCATGGGAGAATAAGGAGGGGGTGAACATGAAGAGAGGAAAGAGCAGAGGAGAGCCTTAAAACGGACAGCTTCAGAGGGCTTTGCTTTTCCAGTACAGATGGCACCGAAGGGAGATGGATGGATGGACAGACCAACAGTGCAGATTGTCCTGTCGATGGGTGGAGCTTGTCTGATGTATGTTGAGGCAGACAGACTTGTGATTAGCTGACCTAGACCTGGAGAGAGATTTCAAATATTCCCCAGTCACAAAATTATGGAGGCCTCACCCAGAATTCTTTTTTTAATCCTTACCCAAGGACATGATCGATTTTAGAAAGAGGGGAAGGGAGGTAGAGAAACATCGGTTGGTTGTCTCTCACACACACCCCAACTGGGGACCAAACCTGCAACCCAGCCTTGTGCCCTGACGGGGAATCGAACCCACAATCTTCTAGTTTACAGGACAATGTTCCAACCAGCTGAGTCACAGGGGCCAGGCCTCACCTAAAATTTTCACAGCTCTCAACTGGCCTGTGAACACAGAAGCATTCTCCTGCCTGCAGTGTGAAGTGCAATCCCAGCAGTAAGAGCAAAGCTGCAGTGAGGTGGAGAGTTAAAGCAGAGCAAAGAGACTTGGGTTTGGATCTCAGGCCCTGGCCCCCTCAGGGGCCAGCTGCTTGGGCACGCAGGCTGGGTCTTGAGAGGTGGACACAGGGAAGCAGTGAGCAAGCAGGGGTCTTCCCCAGAGGCACAGTGCTGAATCAGGGCTCAGGCACCCATCCGGGGTGAAGCAGGTCATGCCAGGGGCTGGAACCCTGCCCTCAGCGGGAAAAGGAAGCTGGTAGCCCGCATCCCCACACTGGGAATGGCCTGCAGTTAGGAGTCTAAGGCGGGGGGCCCACTACTAAAATCAGAGGCCTTGGGGTGAGAGGAACTGCAGCAAACTCTTGTGCCAGCGCTGACCCAGGCCCCCCAGACCCAGGGCTTGCCCAGCAGGCTTAGTTCCTCGCCCCCAACCAGATCCACAGCCTGCCTTAGTCACACCCCTCAGCGCCTGCAGGCTCCAGCCCTCAGTGAGGCCGCTGAGCAAGGACAGGAAGCCACAGGTGAAAGTAGCCTGGCGGCTGCACTGGAACCTATTTCTCACCTGCCTCCTGCGTTTATGATTGGAAGCATGCCCAGCGGGCCAAGCGAGATGCCTTCCAGTTTTCTCTATCTCTGCAGAGACAATCTGAATTGGCCTCCACAAATTCAAATCACATCTCTCTGCCAATCCCCAAAGCCGGAAAGGTCACAGAAGAGGAAGAGAGCAATGCAGCCCAAATCTGAAGCTCCACATAGACCAGAGCCCACGTGTATGGGGATTAGTCACGCACTAATCTAAGCATGCACATTAGCATCCTTCTCTCATGGAAACACAGAAGCAAGACTGCCATTCATATGCCTAGAAAACCCTCCTTCATGGCTCATCGATCCAATCAAAACTTGAGAAGTTCTTCAGACCATTTTGTGGAGTTCTTGCATACACATGGACTTACTAAGTGCAAAGTCTGATGATGGCCAGAGCTTCAGCGAGTCACTTTGAACACGTTGTGCCGGCACACTGGTCCCCGTGGGCCAGAGCCCCGAGTTGCGTGACTCAGATTCCCCCGTTACTTCTGACAGGCCCCAGAGAGCTGAGCCAGGCTGTGAGGCGGGGCCACTGGGAGTTCCCAGAGGCCTCAATGTCTCCCAGATCCCAAGCGTCATCTCTGGGCTCAGACCCCGAAGCACTGAGAGCTGACTCCTGCCTTAGCGTCTACATCCTTCCTCTCTGAGAATAAATATGCCCTGTAAGGGAAAGGCCCGAGACCCAGAGGAAGGTAAGTTCCCCCTTGCTCTCCTCCCCCATTCAATCTGGCACCTGACGGGTGTTGACACCTTTACCCAGAGGACCCCGTTCCCAGGCCAGGTAGAAAGGGCATTGCCCGTGATTCAAATGCCACCCTGGCTGTGCGATCAGAGCCCACTCTTGTCATTTCATCCTTCTGCTTTGAGATCACAGCTGTAGCTGTTGACCTTGATGGAGGAGAAACAGCCCTTGTGTGTCCTGGAAGCACCCTCCCTCCCATGAACTGTAACCACTGGGCACCTCCTTTCGCATTCCTGCCCCATGGCCTGCCTTCCAGCAGGTCTGTGTCTGTGAGTCAGGAGCCATGGAAACTTGAATGTTTCATACTGACATTTCCCAAAACAAAAACAGTTGGCCTATTGTCTGTTAAGAACATGCTCCAAAATGCACCTCTGCACACACCATTTATGCAGCAGTACCACATGCCCAGCTGTGGGTGGGCACCTCACACCCGGGCAGCTGCATTTAATTCCCAAAGCACCTCAGAGAAACCCTTAGAACCCCTTGTTACCAATGAGACAACTGAGGTTCAGGGAGGTTAATTAGTTTGCTCAAGGCCACACAGATAATGACAGGTGCCAAGCGCCTCCCGAACAAACACAGATGGGCCATCATCCTGCTGAACCCCCATGTCCATCGGAGACGCGTCTCCCGAGCTCCGGCAGCAGGAATAAGGACGCCCCGACCCTTCAGATTGTCGGGCGCATGCGTGCTGTGCTGTGGAGCATCAGCTCCCATCCACCAGCAGGTTCCCCTGTGGCAGGACAACTGGGAACACCTCCCTCTGGTTCCTAGAGAATGAATGGGCTGTGACGAGAGATGGATGGGGACTTGCATTGCTTCAGGAAGAAGCCCATTCTGCTGGGCCTGGTTTTTGCCAGTGACACCTCCTTAAACTGCCATGTCCAACCCTTCTCCCTGTTTAGGATTTGTCAATCTTCTTATTAAAAGAACACCACTGCACTGCTAAAAATTCATCCAATAAAGTGGGTTTGATCGTACCAGACTCCATAGATGACCACGGGCTTCCCAGTGAAGTTCATTGCCAACTGAAGCAAACCCGGCCTTCTTATTTGCATCAGTCTAAAAACTCAGTAGCAACATCTAGACCAGTGTTGGGGTGACTGTGTGGGCAAAGGTGGGGAGGAGGAAACCGAGTGAGGAGGCTGGGTCAGGAATCAGGACTCGTGGGCAAGTGTGGGACAGGGAACCAGAAATGCAGAGAATGCAAGCAATGCGGATTCTTAGGTTAGCTCACTCATTCCGTCCCCCAGACAATCTCTGTACCTTCTTTAATATTACATGTTCAGATTTACATTACATAAGTAATTAAGTATCTTAAAATTCTCACTTTAGGGAGCCCTTGGACCAGCAGTCCGAGTTCGTGGCATTAACTAGCGAGAGGGTCGGTATGACTGCACAACGCAGAGGGTGTGGAAGAAGTTGTGACGTTCGGCATTGGCAAAAGATGCTGGGATGTTGCAGTTAGGGCCAAAGGTCTCTGTTAAAAATGTCATTAGTAGTAGAGGATTTCAGATTGGCTTCTCTTCTGCTCTAGTCGACCCAATGGGAATTGAACAGTTCAGATTTACGAAAGAGGTTAACTGAAGATCTCTCACTTAAATCATTCCAAAAGGGTAAAATGGCCTGCCAGGGCTTGGGCTTAGCCCGAGAGGCAGTATTTTAGGTTGTGAAGGGCAGACAGCACTGCTGTGTATGGGAGGCCTCCCGTGTCCAGCCCACGGTGCCTGGGCCTGTCTTTCTTAGTCAGTTTGGGCTGCTGTACAAACATCCCACAGACCGGGCGGCTTAAACAGTGAACATTTGTTTCTCACAGCTCTGGAGGCTGGGAAGTCCAAGATCAAGATACCAGCAGCTGATCCAGGGCCCGGGGCGGGCCTGCTTCTGGTTCACAGGTGACCATCTTCTCAGTGTCCTCACGTGATGGAAAGGAAGGCACTCTAGGGACTCTTCTTATTTTTATTGTTTTGCTTACTGATTAGAAAGAGAGGGGAAGGGAGGGAAAGAAAGAGAAAGAAAAACCTCAATTTGCTGTTTTCCTTATTTATGCACTCATTGGTTGCTCCTTGCATGTGCCCTGACTGGAAACTGAACCCACAACCTTGGTGTATTGGGACGACGCTCTAACCAGCTGTCACGATCCCATTCAGGAGCGCTTCACCCTCGGGACCTAGTCGGTAAAGGCCCCACCCCCTATTACCATCACTTGAGGGGTTAGGGCTTCAATTGGGGGGGCACACACATCCAACCTATAGCAAGCCATAAGCAGATTAGTGCCTGCGACCCAGGCCAAAGCAGGTGCAGGGCCGCTAAGTGAGCATCGACAAAAGGACCTGGAAATGCCGAGGGCGAAGCTGCCTTCATGGTAGTCATGTAAAATAAAAACGTTTGCAAAGGCCAGGAGGCTCCGGGAACGGCTGGCTGCTTGCCTGTGGGGCGGGGGAGTGGGGGGCTCTTGGCTGTGGATTGCAGCTCAAAGACTATTCTGCATCAGAAGGGAGACACCAAGTCAGAGGGCAGGAGGGGGCGCCCTTCAAGGTCAGGTTTGCTGGTCAAGCCTGGGTTGCAGTTTGGGGAAGGAGAACCAGACACTCATTCCTGATCAAAAGCAAAAATCTGAACACCACCCTCAGCAAACCCATTCTGGCCCCAAGGGTCCAGACTGCTTCTTCTGGGCAGAGGACCGGCTGGAGACACCCCCCCCCCCCCCCGGATGTCCCTGTAGACCCTGCACGATGCCAGGCATAAAGCCTGTTGATGGCAAGTAAATGTCTAGGAAGGAGCTTCAGAAACAGAAATGTGTCTGGCTTGTCCCTCTAAGGGACTATTCACAGTTACTCAGAGCACTGTGACAGTGACCTGGCTGCCTTTCGCTGAGGAAGAACCTCACTTCACAGAGAAGGAATTAACGAGAAGGTGAGCACCTTGGTGCACTTGGCCTTGAGCTTCCTTCTGCACAGTGGCAAAAGCCTGCATGAGGACCCCGAGGGCAGAGCGGGGCGAGGCTGCTGGTGGTAAGGAAGCAGGTGATAGGCACAGGCATTCAGGGTCCCTTCACGAGCACACACTGAAGGTCATTGTCACGTTCCAAATTGCCTCTTAGATAAACACTCTCATGGGGGAGAACGCAGTCAGCCAACCTTCACAGCAGTGACTTTTTCTCTCTGAACCAGAAGAAGAGATCGGTCACTGTCACTCAGGAATTCACCGCCATCTGTTTCCCTCCACGAGGAAGAGGCCAGCTGGGCCTGGTTGTCCGTGGAGCAGATGGGCGGGAGGGGAAGTGTTTGCTGAACCCAGACCACACCCCGATGGGCAGAAATGTGGCTGCCACACTCCCCCGTCCCTGCTGTTCTCACTCAGGGACTGGGACAGTGGGGGCCTCACCCCCTTGCTCTTCACGTGAAGCAAGGGACTGGTGCTCCACCCAACAAACAGGCCCATCTTCAAGAGGCCTCACAGCCTTTTCGTGTAAAAGAAGAGCATCCTGTTACGTGAAAGGATGGAGCTGTTGCTCTCTTGTCTCCCAGAATCCCAGTGGGACCACGGTAGCAGGAGAACCTGGCCATAAGTCTAATGGCCGGCCGTCCGGATCACTGCCCCCAGGCCGCAGGACCTTTGTCAGGCGTCCACACAGCCAGCTGGTTGTGTCAGAAAGCAAGGCTGACTCCGAACAATGTTCAAAGCATCTCTGACTTCTCCTTGACTCGGGTTTCCGGCATGGGCCTCCATTGGACAAATACTTACCGAGCACCTTCCACGTGCCAGGAGCAGGGACGGGTACTGTGGCCTCAGCCTGGACCTAGACAGACCGTCTCCCCACCACCCCACCCCCGGGGGAATTTCCTGGCTGCTGGGGAGTGAGGAGCCGCAGAAAAGTACACAGACAGATGAGAGGCTAGCATCTGCAGCAAGGGCTGTGGAGGAAGCAAGCCAAGTATGAGGTTGAGAACAGCGGGTGAGCCTAAGGAAGGACCTGGGGACTGTCTCTCCACGAAGGTGCCCCCCAGCAGAGGCGTTAAGTAAGAGCAGCAATGAGCTAATCAGGGGAAGTGGTGGAGGGACTGATTCTGGGCAGAGGGAACGGCGAACGGCGTGAATGTGAACGTGCTGGGGTGAAGGGAGGGAAGGACAGCCCTGGGAGGCTGCCGCACAACAGGGGAGGGGGAGCAGAGGGGCAGGCCCTGCCGGAGGGGCGGTGCAGCTGTGAGTGTGGATGCTGCTCCGAGCGTAGCTGCAAGCCGTGGGAGGGTTTTACCGGAGGGGCGACCCTGTGCAGTTCTGCACTGAGCAGGCGTGGCCTCGGACACACTGCCCGTTCAGCCCCCAGGGCTCCCAGGCTATCAGCCACACGGTAGGGACACTTTCTGAGCTGCTCGATCTCAGTGTACCCAACCTCGGCCTCCAAGACTGAAAAACCACAGCTCACTCTAAACACCTCTTTATGAACATTTCCAAGTTGTATGCTCAGGAGTCTTTCTGAGCCACTCTGATCAAATTCATTTTAAGTATTATTGCACGTCTTATGTGTCAGACACCGATCAGATTGTGTGAGGACCCTTGTAAGTGCCGCAAACCATACCCCAGGTCGGCCGGCGGGATTTTCCACCTGCACCTGGCACCCGCCTCACTGAGCCTCCTCCGCGGGTGGCCCTGCTGCCCTCAGGCTCTGCAGCAATGCCCAGAACGCCTTCCTGATGCATGCAGCACAGACCTTGGTGGCTCACTCCGCACTCGTCTCAAATAGGGAGCGGACTCTTTTCACTGCAACACTTCCAGGGTGCAGCTGCAAGAGAAGACATGTCTCTTCTCAAAGTCGTAACAGTTTCCAAATTTCATTCTGTGAGGAACTGCTCGTGTGTATGATGGGTATATAATGCCTGAGAAACTGGGATTGGTTGGGTACACCCGAGAAGTCCAGCTCTCTTCCCCTTCCCAATCTCTCTTCCCCACGGGCATCGTGGACCCCCAGATGGCCCACACTCTGCCCCCTGCCCTGCCCACCGCCCATGGCTCAATGCCTCACACTCACTGACGTTTCCTTCTAAAGCTCTTTCAAGAATAGCAGCACCCTCCGTCAGTTGAAACTCACTATTCCTTCCTCCTCTGTATAAGAAATAGGTTGTATTTAAAAAATAAGACAACAAATCAACCCTTTTCAGGATGGAAGAGTTCAGGGAGTGGGACTTGGTTGTGTCCAGAAGTCCTTCCTGGCCACCCTCTCAGGCCAGACTTAACTCATAACCACTCACTCACTCATCCAGCAAACACTGATGAGCACCTTCCGTGTTCCGAGCGTCCTGCCAGGATCCCGGGAAACAGGCTTGATCAGAGGATGGCCCCTGCTCTTTGGGAGCCCAGAGCCAGGCCGGGTGCAGGGTTTCAAACGGATTGCTCTGGCTGGCCTCTCGGACCAATGGTCTCAATGGCGCGTAGACACAGATAAATGCCTGTGCCGCTGGGTCCTCGAGGAAAGAACCAGGTAAAAACACATGAGTATATTCAAGAAAATTATTCAGAGAAAGGGTTCAAAATTCAGGTTTTGACTATAAAATCAGTAATTTGTCACCAAATAAGTATTAATGATTTATACATTTAAAATGTGCCATTAAAAGACAGTTGAAACTCCAGGAAAAACCTTCACACACTTCACGCCCACCCCTCTCAGGTCTTGTTTATGCTCATCACTCTAATGGACGGAGAACTGGTCGACCAGCAAAACTTAACCTTAACTGTTGGTGGCTTACCACCCATGGTGAGTACAGAGTTCACAGTTGTGTTCAGAGTTGCACACAGCAAGTCTGATTACTGTGAGGGTTTTCCTGAGCTCCTCTCGGCTGGACCACGGGCATGGACTGGATCTGTGCTTCCCTTTTTCTGGTGTTACACAGTTCCCTGGATGTTTTTCATGCTGCAAGTTAAAAAAAGAACAAAAACAAAGAAACCACAGCCATTCATCCACAGACCTGGGAAAACACCACTGCCTGCAGGCCCTCCCGAAGCCTTCTTGTCCACATCGCTGCAGGCGGCCAGCGGGGAGGCTGCATTTCCCAGCCAGCAGCCCGTGCCCGCAGGGAATTTCTGCAGAACCTGCGCCACAGGCTTCCCCATCACAGGCCCATCAGTGCACAGACCTCAGTGAGAGCCCCTGCGGGGGGACACGGTGGGCCTGGCACTGTGTTTGGGATTGGAGTCCCAACCGTAGGCTAAAGAGACACGGTCCTTGTCCTCGAGGAACTGATGTTGGAGGGGGAGGCAAGCACTAACCTAATAAATTCACACAGTGTGAATGTACGCGTGTGCTTTGGACCAGTCCTTTGAAAGAGAGGTATACGGGGTGATGAAAGTTTAAAAAGCACAGATTGGGGGACCTTACCTGGTCTGCAGAAGTGGCTTGGGGCTGAGTCCCAAAGCATAAGAAGGGCTTGATCAGGAGGAGTCAGAGTGGAGACAGCCCCTCAGGAGTGGGCACTTCTTTGGGAAAGACTCAGATTGTGTGTGTGTGAAGGGGGGAGCGGGTAATGCCCTGAGAGATCCAAAAGGCAGCCAGGGGAGGGCCTGGCACATGGGGTGGGGCAGAAGGGAAGATGCTGGCCAATGGGGCGGAGTAGCAGGACCCGGGCTGCACCAAGGCAGACACTGATCATTGTCCTGAAAGCAGTGGAACCCCGCAGAACAGCAGGCATTATTACAGTAATCATCCGGTTAAGAGAAGAGAACAAATTAAAAGGGGCACGAGGGTGCTCTCAGAGGTCAGCTGGATGAGAAGTGACAGTGACTTGGACTAAGGAGGCAGCGGTGGGGTTGAAGAGATGCCGACGGGTTGGAGAAAGGGCTGCAGGAATAATTGACAGAAGGACGGGTCCCAGGGACAGAGGGGTATTGGGAAAAAGGCCAGGCCTCTGGCCTGCAGAACCAAACAGTGGGCTGGGTCACTCCACCAGCGCAGCCACCCGGGGGCATAGTCCAACCCTGGTGGTGATGGTGGTGGTGGTGGTGGTGGTGAAGGGGAGGGGAAACTGGTATGAGTTTGGTTTTGGACCCCATGGAAGAGTCATGAGATGAAAACACAGCAGGACTGAGCAACACAAGGTGACACATTTATCTGCAGAGCAAGTCCTCTGAACTTCCCACGGCAGCCACACGCTGGTCCCCAAGCACACCGGTGTCCCCGGACAGCCAGGCAGAGAGCCCGTCTTCAGCCAAGAGAACCCCTGCGTTTCATGCTGATCCCCTCTCCTCTTCTCTCTCCGCATGGCCTATTTTTTCCTTTCTTATACGTCACCCATCCTAGCTTGCCTGGATTTCTCTCCTAATTAGTTCTTTTTGCATTGTACCTTCGCAATTGCTTTTGATTTCTGAGGCCCATGTAAATGCCCTGCTTCCATTCTTGAAGCTTTCCTTTAAAGTTGCTGTCATCTCGTTGGTTTCTATTGGGATGTATGACAGGTGGCCAGCTTAAAAAATGGGAACTTCAATAGTGTCCTTACAGATTTGCATTTTCACATCAGCTGGAGTAAAGACTGTCGGATCCTCTGAAGGGGCGGGTGGGCAGAAGGCTGTGTGGAATGAGACAACTGGCTGTTCATGCGGTGAGAGGTCTCAGGGAGGAAATCTGAACAAATCAACGGTGGGCAGAGAACTTCATGAACGACAGTTCATATGCAATTTGATTCCTACGCTATTGCCCTCATTTCGCCCCATCCCCTTTAATTCATGTTCACTGTGCTGAGACTGGCCTGCTGTGAAAGAGAGTCCAGAAAGAGCTTAGGGTGCAGCTTCAATGAACTGGCCCAGATAGTCCCACTTCATTAATTTCATTTTATTCACTTAAGGAAGGCCTTTGTGTGTCACGGGTCAGGACCCGTCGCTCCCGGGGCTCCCATTCATCATCTGTCCTCCGTTCTCGAGAGAGTCGTGCTTCAAGTTTCTACGGCAAAATCCTCAGCCACGTTTCAGGAAAATGTTCAGTGGAGGGCAACGTGCCACCCACACACTCACACACTCACACAACACAGGTACACGACACACACACCTCCCTCCGTTTTTTCTTACTGACCTTTGATTTGATTATAATAACCACTGCATGACACACTAATTTACAATTAGAGTTGTAAAGAGAAAACCACTCCCAAATACAAATATCCTATGGTTTGCACTTGTGGTTTGCGTCACCATTTTCTTCAAATACCGCACAGGTGAGAAGCAAAAAGTGCTCCTGCAGGAAGGGTTTTTGTCCCCCCTCTGAGTGGCCCCACCTCCTGGGAAAGAAGACAGCCTCTCAGTCGGACTGCCCCAGCTTCACCCTCTGAGTCCCTGTCTCTGCCTTGGAAGAGTGACAACCACCTCATGGAAGGTCATAGAATTAAATGAGATTTCATGGGAAGGCCCCACTCAGAGCAGCTCCTTTTCCTTTAACTCGGGGGTCATGTACAGAGAAAGGAACCTCCTTTTCTCACCCTCCTGCCCCCTCGGGCTCGCCCTGTTCTTTAGCCAGGCACGAATGAAGGCATCCCAGTCTGTCGTACTGTTCCCTCAGTTCCTCCTGTCACCTCCTCTTTTCCTTCACTGTTCCATGGTTTTCCACCTCATTATTGGCCATCTGAAAACTTCTCAGGCCACGCTAAATAGACCTCTTCTCTTGGACCTGCCGGCAGTGTTCCTGTGGCTGCCTCCTGGCAGGGCCCTTCCTGGCCCGGAGGGCCGCCCTCAATCTGCCTCCTCCTTCTCCTCTGCAGCTAACTCAGCCTTTCATTCATTCTCCTTTTCCCCAGTGATTTACTGAGAACCTTCTGCAAACCTGGTCACTCTGTGCCCAGCACCGCACAACATCCTTACTCGGGGGTTTACAGAGGGTGTTTGAGACAAAACCTACTCATGCTTAACACACGCCTTATGAGCAGGGCAACTGGGCAGCGCCGCCCATCTTAGCCAACAAGGTTCAGCTCCCCTGTTCCCCCCACACACATAAGGACAGATCAGAGGAGGGGTTCAGCTTTCACAGGCCAGAGATCACAAGAGGCCAGGTCTGCTCAGAGCTTTACCCGATCCCTCTGCTCTTGCTCACTCAGTGTGAGGGCTCCCTGCCCTACCGCACAGACAGGGCTGCCCAGCTCGTATATGCCCAGTGTGCAGCCATAGAACTGGGTGCCCAGCTCTGGCCCAGAGGGGAATGGTCAGGAGCACACGGCAGCCTGGCCCCGGGAGCACAGGGCTGCCACAGGGGCAGGGTTGATGGGAAACAGTGCACCGGGTCTGCAGCAGCAGCCGGGGCCTGGGCTCTGAACAGATTCCGGCCACTGGTGTGAGTAAAGGGAATTGAATGGGAAAGACCACCCTGGGCTCCCAGAGCTCTGAAATGCCCCTGGTGCAGGTGTCCTCAGCTTGCCCACTGCAGATGTACCACAGGACTGTCATTCTGCCGTTCTCACTACCACAAGGAGCCCACCTGGCCTCTTTAGGCCACTGGTGCTGTCGCAGGTGCAGCCAAGAACTCAAGGAACACCCCAACTCCTGCTATTAGCAAGAACCCGACATTGCTCTGCTTTCTTCTCATGTCTGACAGCACAGCCACTTCTCCAAGGCCACATAAAATAGCAATTGAGTGTATGGATCCTGGAAAGGATGACCTGGAATCAAGCTCTGGGTCCACAGCTAACCCAAGACCTAGCATCTGTCACTTAACCCCCTCTGCAAAAGGAGGTGATGACCTTCCTTCAGGCCAGAACCAGCCACAAGCGTACAATTAGCTGCCAGTCTCCAGACCTTTGAGCTTTCAAAACTGAGACCACGTGCTTCTCAAGCAATGCCCGTCAGCGACGCGCATCCTCATCCTCTCTGGGCCATTTTGTACTGGAGCCCCACCCTGGCTTCGCTGAGTTTCTCCAAGCTCCACTGTAGTCTGAGGATCTTCCTTCCCCACCCCACCCCACTTGCCCTCTCCTTTCATGGAAGCCAGACCTGCACTTGACCTGAGGGCTCCCTCTGCCCACTCTGCTTAGTCTCCCATTCACCTTTCACCCTCTGCAAAGCTCCTGCCCATCTGCTGTGTGTTGGCATAGCCATCTGGAAAGACACAACTGGCTCATAGTTGGCCCACCAAGGAAAGCTGGAGGGTTTACACACCAACTCTCTTCCCTCATCACTCGAGGGTTGCCCTGGAGTTTTTAAACCCCCAGAATGTCAGAGCTGAGTGGCTCTGCGCTCAGGCAGAGGGCACTAAAAGAAAAAAAAAAGCCCTTGAGTGCATGAGGTAGCACTTGTCAGCAAGAATGGGGACAGTCCACTGCATCTGGGCAAAACCCAGAGGTGGGCCCAGGGGAGGGGCGTGGGCCTCGGCATCACCTCCTTTGAAGGACATCAAACCAGTGCTTCTCAGGCTTGGGGCGTGTATTCCTGGCAGCGCTCAGTGGTCACAACGGCATGTGACCCCCGTTCCCCTTTATTCTGAGGTCTGTGCATTGGCCCCAGGCGGGGAATTCGTCGGGGGCCACAACTCTCTTTGTACGATTTGGGTTAGACTGCTGTTCACTTGACTAAGAACTTTCATCCTTGTATAAATCAATCAAAAATTTATTTAATAGGTGTCTTATTCATTTCACTGCTAGGAACACCACAATTGACTAGCCAAGTCTGTAGTTCTACAGATGTCAGAGCATTCAGATTGCTGCGTTCACTCTGCTGTCCATACGGTAATAATGCCCATTTTGGTTTCGGTGGTGTCGTCCACTTGGCCCCTGCCACCCGGCATCCAGTTATCCCTGATGCACCGAGGTTTCCCAAGTCACTGGCTGAGTTCCCACTATGACGTCTGCCCTGTGGAGAAAAGCAAACACACAGCTCTCCAAGGATGTGGGGTTTCCCGCCCCCGGACATTTATTCCTCACACTGATGGTAAAAGGTATGTCTGCTGGCCCCTCCCAGCGAGGGTGCGTGGGTCTTAAATGACAACCCACTCAGAAATTCCAATCTCCCTAAACCTTTGAATCCCTTCCTCTACATTAAACCAAATGCCTGGCATTTCCATTTGCTCATGGTGGGCCACATTTCAGTCCATGCTTTAGCCAGCCAGCCAAGAGGACTCAGATGGTAGACACCCTGCAAGGCTGGGGGTTCAGCTTGCGTTATAAGCCAGCCACTCAAACGATGAGATTCTGTGTTTGATTTTCAGTCACCTCAGCCCACAGCTCCCAGAGGTAAGGGTCCCATCAGGGCACACTAGGAGCTCTTAAGTCATTTAAGTGGGGCTCGAGCTG